GGCTTTAAATATATCCAATCATGGGATGTGAAATGCTGCTCGCAGACTGGGCTGCTGGGTTCAGCTGTTTTATGCCAGCCGAGGTTATTCGTCATCAAAAACAACTAGTGTTGCTGCTATTAGAGATGCCTCCGTCTACATTCGCACTGAAATCACTAAACTGGGCCAGACTTGGATTGTAAGCTGGTCCTGTCTAATTTATAACCCTGGTATGTCTTTGTTTATTCTGCTCTTTGCTCTAGTTTTGCATCCCAATCCACGTGTATTTTCATGCAGTGCTGTAGAATCCAAAAAGTCCTTTTTTTTCCAATCTAGGTTTAAATAGTTGATCTACAGGATCTATGGTTAACCCATTCATATAACACATGCATTTTGTGACTTCCCACGTAGGAAGACTTCGTCACAGACAATCTGTCCACTTGTTCTTAATCTGTGATGTCAAGCCAAGGCTCAAGAGACATTTGTACGAACACTTAAAGCCAGTATGGATTACCAGCCAAACTAAGAACCCTGTTTGTGAGGATCCCACTAAGCCACAGATCTGGACAGTGATCCACCTAGAAAACGTGAATTAACCCATGTGATCTCTCAATGGGTATTCAGGACATTTAAACATTCCTATTTAGTTACAGATTAGCCTGGTTGTTGGGTCAGATTGCTTTGTGTCTGCCTCTTTCCAGTTTTAAAGATGCCTGGTAATTGCATGCGCAAATCGTCAACATGGCTGACAAATGCAACAAGCTCGTTCGGCAGGACGATGTGTGAGACCCATCCCAACCCATCCTGCATTTTCTCCTGTCTATTCACCCTCTGCTAATTTCAAACTACAGCATTTATGTGCTAATTTAGACCCTCACACCTCTCATCCAGTGCCCCAGCCCCACTTCACACCATACTCACAAATTCCATGTCAATCTGTTTATTTTAAAGTTGCTCTTTGGCACTATCAGTCTACCAAGGCCTTCTGCTGCATATGAAATGTTTTGATCCCAGATACAGACTCCACGTTGGCAATGCAGACATACCAGTCAGTGATCAACAACAATTGACAGTCAAAATATAGTCCTGACTGCTCCTTTACCAAAGCCCTTTCAAAACTATGTTTCAGTTTGATACATTTTAGCCAGGATCAAATTAGACTGTACTAAATTTGAATCTGTCCAGATTGTACTGGACTGGCTACATTTCAATACAACGAACTGGAGCCGTTTATCTTGAAAAGTCCTTGAGATGACATTTGTTGTTGATTAACTTTAGCTGTGCACACTAACTGAAATGAATTATGAGCAAAAGCCTTGAAAATATCAACATATGGTGATGCTGTAGCTGCATTGAGGTAAGGTGCATTCCCTGATTATACATCTGAAATAATTGTTTGAATTAAGAACACTTTATTTCAGCAAATGCAACCCCCCCCTCCAAAAAAAAAAAAAAAAAAAAAAAAAATTGAACCTGCAAAAAAATAAAAAAAAAAAAACCAA